GTAAGTAATCCATATAAATATATTTTATGCAGATTTAAATAGGCCCATAAAGTCATTTCAATAAATTAGCGAATTGCGGAGCAGCAAAGCAAACAAATTAAGTTAATGGCATTAAAAGGCAGTGCCAAGACATCTCCCAAAGAAAGGGGAAAAACTAACGCAATGACTTTTCTTACTCAGAAGCTGGTAGTGACATTGGTGCTGGTGTTGGTGGTGGTGATGGTGGCGTCTGTGATTTTAACAAAAGAGATGTGTTTGCATGTGTGTGCTATGCTATATTTATATTTTTGTAAAAATATGGGTAGAAATACAACTTTCCGCACTTTTAAAAAAAAATTCTTTCGGCTTTATTGCGGTGAAAGCGGCCGCCGACGATTTCTTGCGGTTAACAGTTGACTCACAACCTCATCGATTAAAGCGTAGACACTGGAGCGCATGTAAGCTTATTCACGCCAATTTTACAAAAATATATTTCCATGAATATATACATATATACACATATTAATATATTTACTTGTAGTACTTACAATTGAGATATCACGAATTTCATTAATGCCTTTGGAGCGCCTTCCACCATATGTACATTTGTGCATATGTATGTGTATGCATGTAAATGTAACTGAAGCTGAGTAATAGTTACAGCATCGCTTAAAGATTAATAAAAAAAAGTTCTCTACGCTTTCATTGCGATTTCTTCTGCATTCAGTGAAACATATACACACATACACACATGAAACTGAGCATAATTCACTGGCTTTCCGGTTTCCTGTATCATTGCTCTAATTGTAGAAGGAGTTGGTTGTAAAACTTTTACTTGCAGCATCTTTATTTGCCACAAGCTGCCGAGAGACTGTTACATATAAAAACACATACATATACGCAAACAGCAAGGCAAACAATAGTTTGAACAAATATTTGCCAGTATAAATATTTGTTGGGGTAAACACATATGTGTTTACGCTAGTCGGCTGCTATTATCCTGTCAACCGCCTTGCTTACAATTTTTTTTGAACATATCAAATTCATATACTTTACAAACACACACATATCTATAATGTACAACTCGGCACGTGAAACTTGCTACATATCTATTTGTATGGAATTTTTTTTTACTACAAATCACTCAAGCGCACAAGAAAATATATATGCTTAAGATTGTACGCCCACCACAGCAACCAAATCTATGATGTTTTTTGGTTTTGTTTGCGCTCTCTTCACTACCGGTCGCTTGACATTGATAGGCACGCACACGTACACATATCTGCGAGCGGCAATGAAGCGTGTAGCATATAACTGTTACATTGCCTAGTAGCCTAGTAAACGCATATGCATGTCAATTATATTTATTACTATACAAATTCCCAGCTATTTACACTGCACACATGTCCACATGCCCACATAAATATACCCCATAAACCCTGTGTGCCTGTGTGTCTGTCTGTCTGTCTACTTGTGTGTGTTTTGTGCACATTTTTCCGTCGGCTGATTTCTTTGCCCAGTTCAATGCGAACGCGAAAAGGCCAATAATTTGTTTGTGCGCGTGTAACTAGCCAGCATTCAAATGCTTAGCAACAATGAGAAAGGTGTGTGTGAGTGCGTGTGCGAGGGCGTATGAGCAACTAATAGTCGAGGCGGTAATTTGCGCGAGTCGCCCAAACCTACTTACTGTACATACATACATATGTAGACAGCTGTTGGCAAAGTTGGATATATGTATGTGTTTTTTTATCCATGTGTGTATGTATGTATATAACTATGTATGGATATATGCAAGTATAGTATATTAATACACTTTTAGAGCGTTTGCGCTTCAAGGGCGCTTAAAAATTGCGTTGAATTATTTGAGCGCCCGAATGCTGTACAACAATAAAATTGATTTGGTTTTGGGGAATTTCCTAGAATATTGCGCCTATTACTCTCGCGCATTTTTGTTTTTTTTCACCGCTTCTTTATGACTCTACGCAATACCAATGCTCTCATACAACACCAGAAATATTTGAAGCAATACATCTATGTTATATATGGGTATTTGCATACGTGTGTTTGTACATTTCTATGTGCTCACTCGTGTGTACATTTAATCAGACATACATATGTAAGCCCTTATTCGTAGCGCACGTTATGCTTACGGCGATCTGCGTGCGTTGATTGCTTGACAAATTGTGATGTCATCAGGTTATGATAAATGTGGGTGACGGCATATAGGCATGTTCATGTAGACATATTTACATGCAAGAAGCATATGTATAGAAAAATATGAGTGCTCTTAATTTTAATTTAAATTATAGATAATATTTTTGTTTAATGAGACCGACGTTATGCTAACCATTAACACTTGGATTCCGAAATCGCAAATCGAATTTTTTTTCAAGCTGTTCAAACAGACTGGCAGCACTTGAAAAGAACTGTTGAAAATTATATAATAAATATAGTGTTTGGCAACATTGAGTTGTTTTCTTATAAACAATTTTTTTTAATTGTAGCATTTTACTAATTTAAATAAATAAACACTTTAACTTTATCGCTTTCGATTCTAATTCTAAAATATTTGTATAGAAAACACTTTTATTTGACGAGGTACCTTCACAAAATTAGGCACGAGTTATTGTCTATGACAACAATGTAATCTCCGGAGAAATTGTTCAGATCAGATCTCTATATCATAAAGCTGCCATAATAGTTAAACGATCGGAATAAAGGAGGAACCTTTGTATTTGTGAAGGGTATTAAAGGTTCGGTGCAACCAAAGTTAACATTTTTTCTTGTTTTTTTAAACAAACTACTCTAAGATTTTAAAACTAGTCTAAGATCTGTACAACTAATGCTCGTCGCCTTGAAATGTGAATTGAATTAGAAGGCTGTAACTCAAATATAATTTGAGATATCGACTTGAAATTTTTTACGTTATTTAAGGGTATAATCTATCGAAATACGAAATAATCTATTTTTTTTTAATTTCATATTAATTAATTTATTAAAATCGGTTTGTACGACTTTTTCTTGCTTTTCGTTTCAAATTCTTAAGAACATTAGCAACTTCATTATACTTACATGAATCTTTCTTGTCTTTCACAATATCTCAGCATCAAGTGCGAAGCTTTAACGCGAACAAATCCACATCACCCACTTTTTGACCTCTTACAAACTCCCACAAAGTCACAAGCTCAAAATTGCCCCACAAAATCCCACAAACCAAAACTAACGGTGGTTATATATTTATATATATGAAATTGGCACTTAAGCGTTTAAATAAATATGATTACATTAAGTGAAAAGCATATAACCACAAAAAATGTGTATGCAGAAATTTTTAGAAAACCAAAGTACCGAACTAAAACCCAAAGGCTAAACCATTAGCTTAACCCCATGACGACCTGGGCAACAACCAAAAATTGAGCACGACAACCGTGACAACGAAAAAGCAAAGGAAAAGTGTAGTATAGAGGTAAAGGGGGCATAAAAGGGGTGTACAAACGTGCAAAAAGGATGCCGACGCAACTATTGGCAGTGACGCCAAGAAAAAGTTTAGCAAAAAGTAAAATTAAGTTATACTTACTTTTTTAGAGTGACGCATGCACACATACACACACACACACAAACATGCCTACACACCCACGCAGTCTGCGGCATGATGCGTCGCCACGTCACACCGCTTATAGTGAGGAAGAGGGGATGTTGCGCACGATGTACTTATATGTGTATGTGTGTTTATGTGTTTGTGTGGTGAAGGAGTGATGCTGGAGCGGTGGCGACGGCGGCGCATCCTTCGTTACACGGCAATAAAAGGCGCCAGACCGTCGCTCAATGCCGTGTTCGCTGTCGCGTCATCAACGAGTTTGCTAGTTTGGTTTGTTTTACTGTCGTTTTTGAAATTTTTTCTGCTCACCGTTTGCAGAGAGCAATTTTTTTGCTGCGCTACCGTTTTTCTACTACATTTTTCTTACACGTTGCTCCCGTTTGTTTGTGTTTTTGCTTTTTTTCTGCGTGATTTGCTTAGTTGCCTTGTCGGCGGAAATACAAACTCACATGTAAGTCATGCAAGACTGGCGAAATATGTATGTGTGTGTAAGACATTTTCATTGAGCAGGTGAAATGGTGTTGGTGTAAGGCCTCAGACTTATGAATTGTATGGAGCATATTTTCGATATAAGTCTGTTTGCGTCCCTGCCAACTTGTGTATTTAGATGATGGTGCTTTTTACATGCGCAATTTGTATATATTCAATAACTGATCTCGGTTACGCGCTGAGCTCCAGCGCCATACCTCGTGTACTCTTTGCAGCCACCTACCCACATCCAGTCGCTTACTTCGACCGCTGACAACTCCTTGCCGCACAGTATTTATGGTTTATGTCATAAAATATGAATTGACAGTTCAAATGTTCAAATGTGAGCATAGGCAAAAAGAAGAGAAGCGGATAAGGAGAGACAATGGCTTTGAAAGACACTGCCTTCGCTTCGACAGTCCAATTAGCGCAGCAGAAGCATGGCGTTTCTTGGGGTTTCTCGCAAGAAAAGCGATAAAAATGTCGGCAGACAATCGAAATGTCTTCGCCGAATGGCGGACAAATTCGGTAGTTGGGGTATAGTAATAGTAGTTGAATAGAAATCGCTGAACGGCAGACAATGACTGGAATGTTGTCGCAACGTAGCGCTTTCAATTGCTTACAAATTGTTACATCAGCGATGATATATGAAAATGAAGGCAACTAACCGCCACGGGTGTCAGTGGCGGCCAAACCTAAGTCGCGCCAAATGTTATGAATGAGAAAGAGGGAGGGAAATGACAACTCAGCAGGATGAAGATTCAATTGTGTTTTTTCAACTGATTTTTTAGCGCAATTATTGCGCGACAATTGTATATTTTTATAACGGTTTCCTTGACTTGAATTGTGCAAAGTTCAAAAATGCCAGTAATTAAAGAGCTTTAATATAATATTTTATAAAATTTTTCTTACATATTTATACTTGATATTTATTCTTACTTTCTTCGCATTTTAGAACTCCATACGTCACAATCTCTCGCTGCATAATCGTTTTATGCGCGTACAAAACGAAGGCACCGGCAAATCCTCATGGTGGATGCTGAATCCCGATGCCAAACCCGGTAAATCGGTGCGTCGACGTGCTGCTTCCATGGAGACGTCACGCTATGAAAAACGTCGGGGGCGCGCCAAAAAGCGTGTAGAGGCTTTACGTCAGGCAGGCATAACGGGTCTCAACGATGCCACGCCATCGCCGAGTAGTAGTGTTAGCGAAGGTTTAGATCACTTCTCGGAGAGTCCATTGCACAGGTAACTATTAACTTCGAATTATTTGCAAACAAATGTAGTCATTTTTATTAAACAAATTTTAAAAATAATAGTAAGTATTATTTGATAAAAAATAATATTAGATATTAAAAAAAAATTACAAGCATTTGTCTGTCTATAGCTGCAAAAGAAGGCTTTAGCATTTAGAAAATTTTTCTTGCTTCCTAATATAGCTTTTGGTTATTCGTCTTCTTATATCCTATGATAAAAGCATTTTCTTAAGTTTTGGCATTGCGTGCTATTAGCAGAATTTTTTCTTAAATAGTAATTTTTAATTAAACTTCCTAAAAAATATGATTGAAACACTTTTATAAAATATACAATAAAAAAATAGCATGTTTTATTAAGTAGTTTTAGCCTAGATTTCAAGCACTTTTAAGTAACTTATTAGTTAGCGAAATATTTATATATGAAGCTGGCGTTTTTCTTTAATTAGTTTAGTATTATTAGAAATTTTTTACAGTGGTTTAATAATATATAATATAATAGTAAATATACTTAATAGTAATAGAAGTTTAAAAATAATTTTGTTAGGTCTTACATAATTAACTATAGCCCAGCCTGGACTACAACAATATAGTCTGTCTCGAGAGTACATCTCATAGTTGTACTTCAAGTACGTTTTAACTTTTGCCTCAGTTTGAACAAATTCCATTCAACGACCATTCACTTGTGTTCTGAGTTCAGTATAAAGTGGTCAGTGACAAATTTGGGGTACGGTGGATGCGGAACCAATTAGAAGCTCGACTCTGCAATTTCATGATCCTTTTCATATTTGAAACTTTCTTCGCACAAATATTTTGTATACTCCAATATTCATGAAGGCTATGTCCAATATTATCAACCTCATTTTATGGTCGTCTTCCGAGTTTGTACAATACTTACCGATCCAGACAAATTCGATCATCAGTCCTTGGCCGGATGAAATGCGTGTTAATTCCGATATCGTTGAAAGTTTGAATATATTTCAATATAGTTGCATTTCCGTAGTACTCCCCCTATTGTACTGATGCACCGGTAGTACGGGGTCATTTCCCACAGACTGATTAACTTTTGTTTACCTAAGATTTCAAAACCTAGATAAGTTTCCATAAAACTCTTAACTCAATAACTAAACTTTTGTAGACATTATTATAAATTTATAACGCATTTTAGAAATACCATATATATAAATATATATAGTAGTTGCCATATTTGATAGCTAAACTGCATTTAATATTTACTTTGCACCTTTTATAAAATTATATTTATTAACTCAACTCATTTAATTATAATTTTTTATTAATTGTTATATTTCTTTGCGTATCCGTTTTTTGTATATTTTCATTTCGAATGTGATTTCTTATTGGTTTGCTTGCGATGATTTAAAAGTGGTAACTTTCAATTATCACCGGATTTCCGACAACGCGCCTCATCGAATGCCAGTTCCTGCGGACGTCTCAGTCCGATACCAGCACTTATAGGACTTGAGCCGGATTGGAGTTTCGGTGGCGATTACACAAGCACAAGCATTACGCCAGCACAGGCAGCGTCAATGGACCAACTAGCTGGCTCAATAGCGGAGGTCAAACTGCCAAAGGATATTCTACAAGGGTCAGTCACCATATTTTCAGTTCGCCCTTTATTTGTGTAAACTGGTGATTTTTATCATTTCAATATTTTTTAATTTGATTTTGTATTTTGAGTGTGTATGAGTTGCAGTAGAGTGCAGATGATGCAAATTTTTGTTGCTCAAACTATTTTAGTTTGCACAATTTTGTATTTGGAAATGAAATATGTACGTGTATTTGTAGTTTCTTGCAAGCATATGTGTGTGTGTGTATATTATGCATGCTCGATGTGTTGAAGCTCACGTCGATATTTTTATTTTCAAGCACTTTGTATATATGTACCATATGTGTGCATGTCTGTATATGTAGTGGTGTTTAGTGCACTTTCAGCTATTTCCAAGCATTTTAGTCCGCAGATAAATAAAGTGAAATTTTTTGTCTCTTCCTCTTACCACTAAACGGTCATACGGTTGGAGTAGGTTTAGCGCTGCCTCCGGCATACCCACACAGCCGCCACCGCCATACCAGGCACCACAGACATACAGCCTAAACGGACCGGTCGTCACGCAAGGCTACAGCTTGCAGGCACAACAATGCCTGTTGCATCGCTCGCTGACGTGCAGCTGCTTGCACAATTCACGCGACGTAAGCCTCTCGTATTTTACAGCCCCTAATTTATGTCTTAAACTTTCGTTTTTATTTTTCCCGTACGCTCGCAGGGTCTGTCGCCCAATTCAGTCACCACAACAATGTCCCCCGCCTATCCGAACAGTGAGCCCTCGTCGGACTCCTTGAACACTTACAGCAATGTGGTCTTGGACGCCGCCAATGCCGCTGGCGTTGCGAATGATAATGGTACTAGCTTAATGGTGCAGCAGCAACAACAACAACAGCAGCAGCAGCAACAGCAGCAACAACATCAACAACAACAACAACATCAACAACAACAACAGCAACGACAGCAGCAGCAGCAACAACAACAACAACAGTCACTTAACACAAATCTAGAAGGTAAAGCGCTAATTGCTTGATTAAATATAGACTTTCAAAAAATGAAATCGGCAAAACCTTCCGAAACTGTTAATTCAGTATGTAGATAAATAGTTTGAGTATCATAAATAAGTAACTTTAACCATTTTTAGATCTTTTGATATGCAAATTTTATTTAGAGTTTGTTGCTTAAATTATATTTCTGGGATAATTAAACATAATTGCCATAGCGTATGAATCAAATTTTAGCAATTTCTAAAATTTTTAATATCAGCCCTGTAATATGTTTAGTCATTTGCTTTAAAATATGCCACCTTAGCGACGGATTTACTTCAGCTACAATTCTCTAGATGTCTGTGACCTCCAGAATCGTCGGGGTCTAATGTCAGTTCGCCACGCGGATTATTTATGTATATGAGGGTGGAGCGTAAAAAATGCTTGTTTTTTTGCTTAGCCTGAGGGTAAAATTTGTAGATTAAAAAAAATTTGATAAGTGTTGTATAAGCTGTGGAGAGTCCTCTTTTTGGCCAATAAAAAATTATCAACTTAAAAAAAATTTTGTGGTCATTATTGGAGTTTAAAAAAAAAGTATTAAACGACACCATGCTTTCCTTAAGCGTTAAAATAAATATTAAGTCAAAAACCGTCAAATTCGGTAATTTGTATATTAATGTGAAGAGTTTAAACCAAAAAAAAAATTTTTTGTCTAAAATTTTCCTTTTTTTATAATCTACAAATTTTACCCTCAGGCTAAGCAAAAAAAAAAAAAAACAAGTAAGGAAGGGCTAAGTTCGAATGTAACCGAACATTTTATACTCTCGCAAAGTCAAATGGTATACTCGTTTTAGATTTTGAACAGTTTTGGTTCAATTTAGATAATTTTTGGTCACAAGGTGGCATACTTTAAACGTATTATTCACGCCAATATAACCATTGTTGCTTGATTTGCATACAAGAAAGTGAAAAAATCAGATGGAATTTAAAATGATGTTATATGGGAAATAGGCGTGGTTGTAATCCGATTTCGTACTATAACATAGAAATATGAGACGAATATTACATACCGAATTTGGTTGGTTCCAATAGTTCTTCTACGTTCAAATGGTACATAAATTTGAAAAACCAAACCGTTCTGAAACCTTAAAAGAGAATAAGCAAGCTTTGCGATTCTTTAGTTACAATATTCAAGACTCGACGACACAGAAGCTTAATTCCCTAATCGTACTTTTTATTTGACGTCTGCAGACAATAACTGCGCATCGACGCTCATCGGACAGTGCATGGAGGCGCTGAACAATGAACCACAAATTGACGAATTTACATTGGACAGCTTTCAACCCGGTCTCGACTGCAATCTCGAGGAGGTGAGTAATGTGTGAGAAATATAAACAAATGTATACCAACGTCAAACGCTTTGCATTGTCTTTTTACCTTAACCTCACTCAAAATTCCCTTCACAGCTGATCCGGCAGGAGATGAGCATTGACGGCATGTTAGACATAAATATACCATTCACCGCTGACCCCACAAGTGTTGCCAACGATACGGCGAATTTGGTTAATAGCGCTCTCGGCGGAGCGAATAATGTGCACCAACAACAACAGCAGCAACAACACCAACAACAGCTGAATCAGTTGCAGGCTCAGTTACCCCAGCAACAGCAGCAACAATTGATGCCATCACTGTTGAATAGTATCGCTAGCAATAACAACAACAACAATAATAATAATAATAGTAATATGTTAGAATTGCCTACCGCCACACCGACGCAAACAAATCTAAACGCACGCGTACAATACTCACAAGCGAGCGTCGTGACGCCACCATCCTGGGTGCACTAGAGGAGTGGGTGTGCATGGAGAGTGGGTGTAAGTGAACGTAATGTGGAGTAAATTAGTTATAACTATAACAACAACATTATTAGCTAAACAAAGTGGTAATCTAATCGGTGGATTTTGTCAACACTAGCAAATGCAAGAAATAAAAGGATACTAATAGCGAGTAATTGGTAGCGATTGCCCAGATACCCGAGTGTGAACGAGGTGCAGCGTGCGAATGTCCGACTGTTGCAGTGGTGACATTTGATATGCAACATCGTGTACATACATATAAATGTACGTTTAATGTAAAATGATCTGTGCCGCAAGTCGGGAAGTCACGTAGCACATACATATATACTACATACACATAAAGCGAACGGTAGTTGACGAAATGATATATAACCTAACTGTAAAAAAAATAATGCCAACGAATTGCTTTCTACCTTCTATAAATTAAATCAAAATCAGTTTACAAATAAAAACTGTGTTAAAATCACAATTACCAAAACAAAAAACAATAAAAAAGAAAAACAAAAATAATGGTCATATAAAATAAGCTTAAAAATTGGTTGAAAAACAACAAAAAAATGTTAATAAAACAAAAACAAATTAAAGACAATAGCGACATTGGAAACGGATTAGAGCTAAGCAACTGCAAGCATAACTGTAAACGAGCGGATAGCATACAGACTCTATTTATAAAGTAAGTATAAGAAAATTTGTATTATTTTAGATTAGAGTATATATGCGTATGTATACATGTAATTATTTTTAAGTTAACGTTGCCTGGCCTGACCTCGAGAACTGTCAAAAATTAAGTAAAAGTGTTTGAAAGTTGAACAAAGAACAACTGTAATTCACTTGTTTGAGAAGCTTCTTAGCTGTGAGTAACGACACTCTTAATGTTAACCTGGATTAATGTTGTCGCCTTCAAAATAGTCCCCATTCGATATTATGTACTTATGCCAGCACTTCTTCCAATCGTCGAAACACTTCCCAAACTCGATTATTGATATAGCCTTTAGTTTTTCCAACGTTGCGCTTTAAATGTCATCTGTGCTTGTAATGCTGAAAACAGTCACCGACATTCCGCCCTTCCATACTTACCACTCGTATTAAAGAAAATTTGTCTGAAGTTATGCCCGTAGTAGCAACGTAAAAATCGGTTGTTCTCTTGTGTTTTCACTCTTTTGTACACATTTAGTTTTTTTTTGTTATAATTTTAAATGTAAATAGTAAATAAATGTATTCGACTGTGATTTTGAGTTAGTTTAAGAATACTTCAAATATATTCAAGTTTATTTTTTAATTAATACAAAATATCGAGACTGACAATCCTGCCTTCCAAGAGAGCAGTCAGCTCACTCGTTTCTACGGGAAAATCTAACTTTCGCGGATATCCTACCGTACGGTCTGTAGCAGCTGACGGTAGAAGCGGTGATGAGTGTTCATTTACATTGCGCTCTCATAAGATATCATATACGTTTATTGTGTTTCTACATTTTTGCGGGTGGCTGTTTTCGGCATAAAACAACTGCCCTTTAAGTAAATCGGAAAAATTCATACGAAGCCATGTCTGCCAAATACGGAGGAAAGGGCTTCGTTACAGTATTGTTTTTTGGCTAAGCATTCACAAACAAATTTTTTGATCAATTGAACTCTGCCAACAAGCGAAATTTTAAATTTAAAAACTCCCGTTACTTTCTGAAGCCACTTCATTAATGTTTTATTAATGTATTTGTAAATTAATATTTTATACACAAAAACAAAAAAATACTATTTAACATATAATAGCTACCTTTGATTTGCCAATCGTTAGTGCGAAGCGAATCGAACAAACTACAATGTCGATTAAGAACAGGGTACATGGACTAAATTTCTTGTATGCAATTATATTTTATTTTAAGTTCTAAGTTTTAAAAATCAGTACTAAAAAAATATATATATTTCTATTAACATTTTTGTCGGTAATTTGTCATTTGAGTCATCCACAATAGTTAACTGATTATAAAATCTGTAAAACACAATTTGGTCTCATTAAAGAGATAAATACACCAATTTAAGCAGATAACCACATGAGGCGCTAACTTAGTAATTGCTTACAATTAAATTGTAAAATAATTGACGATTGAGCAGCGCTCAAAGCTAGAATTTTACATCATATCTCAATATAATTTTTCTGGACATAAATGATCTAATGACAATCCTAAATCATTTTGAATCCCAAAAAGTCGTTTTTTGTCTTACTTTAAAATTTATTATAATTTTATACAAATATAAAGTATTTTCTATGCTCTCACAACAACATATATGCATATACACAACAACATATCCTAGCATTTTAATTGTATAATCGAACGAAATATACGCACATCCACACACAAAGTCTCGTATTCACAACAGCTATTCCAGATCATCTATCAAAATTGTACTCGGCGAACCGTCAACAAAACAAACCGGTTTATCAGCACTGTCAATTGAATTGGCGCTAACTATTTTCGGTATGCCATTCATTTCGGCATTCGCGCGATTACTAAATTCCTGCAGCTTAATAATCAGCATGGCAAATATCTGCGGCGAGAGTGTGGCTTGAAAGAAGCCCAGTATACGCGTCGGCTGTTCGCAAACTCCCAAAGCATTAACGAAGTGCACCACACCATTCTCGAATTCGCCACGCCCAATTAGTGTTTCACCCAAATTGATTTCCTGTGCGAAATAGCGGTGCAGCGCTTCGCAATCATTCAGACTTGCATTTCGTACCGCATTTTGATATTTACGAGTGCGCCTTCGACGCTCGTGCACTTTCATTTTGTATTCGGGATCGGCACGTCGTTTCCTATCGAAATAAATGCAATAGCCGAGAAAAAGTGTGCCGGCAACACCCGCTGCTATGCCAACTGTTGTTTTGTTGAGCGGATTCATACGAAACAGATTTCACAATTTTATAAAAATATACAAATAAAAATATTTTGAAATTAATTTGATTATAAATAGAAATTTTGACTTCTTCTAGCTTACTCTGACTCATGTTATAATGATTTTGAAATGCGGTTTCTTTTACTTTAAAATTTTTGACATACAATGTTTGCTAACAGAATTTTGATGTTGCTATTTAGGTGTTCAATTTGGGGATTTTTTTTATACTTGGGTAAATGTAAAAAAAAAAACATATTGAATGAATTTGTTATAATTTTTTGATGTTCAATTTGATTATGCTGCACATTTAAGTGTTGTTTAAAGTTCCTCAAAGCTAGAAATTTCAATATTTTTTTTGAACTGTTCAATAAAATACTCATATCATTTAAATCCAAAAAGATAAAACATTGTCAACTGTTTTGAAGTTTTCAGTTTAAAAAAATTGATAGTGTTTTCTTAAAGCTTTCACTTTATTTGCTTCGATAATTATTTTTATAAGAAACTGATAACCGAATTACAACTCAACGTAAATTCAATCTGTTATCTCAAAAGAAAATCACTCTCTTCGCTGACTCCTCCAACCGCATTAAGAACGGAGGTGATGAAATAAAAATGAGAATTACTAAGAACACAAAGTGTTAGTATTATTATAATTGTATGCGTATAATTGCCCACAAATTTTTATTGTTATTTTTCTTATCATTGAATGGCTGCAAATATACAAAAGTACACTCATACATGTATATTTGAGTACGAACCCAGCAGTGAATACAACTGGTTACAAACTAGTTTAGAACTAGGGTGCAGCAGGCCGAGTGTAATTTTTCCATACAAAATTGTGATGGGTTTTGTGTGCTGATCTCATACGAGATGCCAGTTGTTAGATTATTGTCAAATATATACCAGTTTTATATTGGTTTAAAACATTGCCATAATTGCCACTCATATTATTGGGTACAATTTCGATTTGGAAATTTTTTTTTCAGTTCGTCGGTGTTTTCATTGTCCAAATACTGATTCGCTGTTGAATTTTGCTTTCTTAATAGTAAACCGGTAAGAATTTTATTCTTCTCAGACTAGTTCGACTTTGGTCCGACGTGATTTGGTATTCTTTCGTACTAGTTTGATGTTACACTACAGGTACAAATTCATACATATTACTTAGCTATATATAAGTATATATAAAAGTATGTGTGAGGCTGTGCATATCAATTTGTATGCCCTCTTGCAAAGCATTTCAACGCGTAGAATAAAAGATTCATGGCCATATCCTGCGCCTATTTAATGGTCTTCCTTTACAATCGTTAACATTTTTTCTGCGTTTTAGAGTTTTTGCTTGTTGTGTAAGCTTTTCATTTGCGAGGCTCTGATTTAGTTCGCTGCTTGCAATGTTAACATGCCATATAAGTATACAGATGGCATTACTTAGCTTTGGTACACTGGTATACATACATACATCTACACATATTTTAAAGGATATTTTACCAAATTACATTTACTTACAAGCTGCGGAGACAAGAAGTCATACACACAGCAAAGCACACAAATGAGTGTGCTGAAATTGCCTGGTGAGTCTAAGGGGATGTTTGTTGCTGTGCACACTTATACAAATATATGTATGTTTGTAAGCTTGCGACAATTTTGATTTTTATTTCCTACGTAATGTACGCGTGATTTTGTGCCAACGGCGGCAGGTTTTTCATTTTTATTATTTTTTCTTTCGGTATTGACGACAGTAATAATGTATATGATTACGCCGCTGATTTACTTACAAGTACTATAAATATGTGTATATGCATATACTACATCGTAGTACTCGGTGTGTGAATGTCAGTGTTAAAAACTTCTCTTTGGGCACTGCAGTGGTCGCCAGCATCGTCGTCTCGTCGGCAAGTCAGTTTCAATTTTGGCTAAAGATCTCTCAGCAATTTCTTACGGTTCATTCATTTATTCCTTTTGCTTTTTGCGCATTCATTCATATTCATAGATTTCCACTGTAAAATTACATTATTAACATAATTTATGCATAAATGTCATTTAAAATTTGTGAAGCTACTCTTGTGGGGACGAGAAGAGACGTTGGCATACTTTGGCTGCGCAGTAGTGGGTACTAGTTAGGCGGCTGGAGGAATTTAAAGCAATACAACAGCAGCTTTAACTTAATAAAAGATTAGCTACCGTAAATTTAAGTTTGCTGTTGGGGAAAAAGAAATTAGTGAGATTAAACTTTCAAATGGATAATCTTACATTTTCGAGCGCTTAAAGGTATAAACGTTAATATTCTTGCATGAATTCCTAAACTTCTTGGTAATTTTTGTTGTTGTAGCAGAAAAATTTCTGAAATTTTTTTTTTGTTATCCAACATTTCTTTAATAAGGCCACTTAAGGCATATGAAATAATTCTTAAGTTTAATTTTCATTTCGAAAATTTTCGATTTTCTAGCAAAACCTAAGGCAAAATATTGATGTTTTGAACCTCTGCATATTGCTGACCTCTTAGAAATAAAATATGTGTTTCTAACTTACAGAGCTGTCAACTTAGTTTCCTTAAGCGAAATAAACAATTAATATTTAAGAAATGTATAAAAAATATACTTACGCATTATTTTTAATAAATTACGGTCAATAAAATTTATAATTAATTAATATAATAACAATATAAAGAACTTTTAGTCATTTATATATAAATTGGCTAATAGTTAATTGCTTTATTACATAGTAAGTTGAAAACAATAAGCCGCTAAATTATTTATATATTCTTAAGGGGTTATATCCACTTGCAAAACAGAAATAACGTGTCCTTTGTGTTTTTTTTTAAAGATATTTTATTTAATTAACAAAAAAAAAATGTACATTAACAAAATTATAATAATAGGCGACCATTTTTTAAAAATTTGAATTTCATTGATCGCGTAGCCGTTTTCCAAGGGGAATTCCGAAAAACAGTGCCTGCCGGTAAAGATTTTTATGCTCAAAATTATCTCAAATCCAAAAATCAAAAAAATTTACATTTACTATAGTACTATAGAACTAATCACAATTAAGATTTTTGAAATTTAATTTTAGATATATTATCTAAAAAGATCGTATGAAATTGTTGATGTTTTCTAGATAAAAAAAAAAAATAAAAAGCGAAAATTTTCCAAAACAAGAATCGTGCCAAATCTTAGAAAACTGCTTTTCTGGAACTGCTCGTTTAAAGCTGACTGAGCGACGTGAATAGACAGCGCGGAACCGGGTTGAAGATTTGATACCTAGTAAACCAACCTGTTTTCGCCTAAATCGTTTATAGGACAAGTTTCTAGTTATGTCCACATTAGAAATATGCAAAAATATAAAAAAATATTTGTTTAAACCGTAAAGATAGACGACCACCTTAATGGAAACGCGCTATTACAGATCATGAGCTTAGAATGTTAAACTTTTCCAAAGCCCATTTACACAATTTGTAGCACATATTTCAATCAAGCTTCGTCACAACTAATCGCTAACGCTGAAATATTTAAAAGCGCATTTAAAACAAATGACTGCATCATTAGAGCTCGTTAGAGCGTAAATAGCCTCTAAATCGGCAACTCAATTACCTACTTGCCGTAAGTGAGTTGAATTACAAGCAAATGAAATATATAAACGATCCATTACACGATTCAATACGAAACGTATGGTAATGTGGAAGCTCGTCAAAAGCACGCCGAAGCGCACTTGAAGTCCAACAACTCGCATAAAGTATCGAAAGTGCTTATAAAACACGCCAAATGGGCAATTTGTCTCCTTGACAAAAAATATCTTTATTCCAGTCATTGTATGTGTGTGTGAGTGTGCATGTATTTGTAATTGGCTACTAATTCACTTTAAAAATTTAGCCAGCAGCGAAAAGGCCAACACGTTGAGTAGAAGTAGAGGTGGCAGCGAAAGTTTGCAGGTGAATTTCAGAGTTACCACCGAAATGAGCAAACGCTAAAAGGAGAGAGGGGTGCCACCAGCCACCAAGCAACGCGGGGCACTCATTTTTCTGCATAGCTTGGCAAATTAAGTAAGTGATTGCCTACACAATGTTATGCAACACTGAGCACAAGGCTCGTGGCCACTTGACTGCTTGACTACTTTGTAGCCACTAAGGTTCTTTTTTTGCCTTTTGGTCTCTGCTTTTCTTGCTGGCTACCGGTTGTTGCGTTTGTCAGCGGACAGCTTTTGAAAATTTAATTATATCCTTGGGCAACGTATATGCAAGTATCTCGTAAAAGTACATACATACATCCACACATACGCGTTGGATTTCGCGCTTTATGTTGCTGTTGTTTTTGCGCGTAAATGAAGCGTTTACTTAATTTGATCGAATTCAAAGTGGTTGACTGGCCGCCATTTATCTCGTATGCCTTCTTCTGCTTTTTCTTTCTGTTTTTGCAAAAGAAATCTCTAAAGATCTGCACCTGAAAGAGCTTTGAGTGCGCCAAACCTGTCTGACTTTATACTCTCGTGCTTGTGTGTGTATGTAAATTATGCAGCAGCTGCCTTCTTAAGTAATTCTCAGGCTAGTTTCCCACATTATGCAACATTTCTGCCACTTCTATGCAGACTTTTATATTCTAATTTGTGACAAACAATTTTAACGGACCATGATTTTGATTTTTTCGCCTACAAACTTTTCACTTCACCTAACGGCATTTCTCTTTGCTGCACAAGACAAGCGCCCGTAATTCATTTACGCATTTACGCACACCGCTGCCTGTCTTTTGACTTGTCAGCGTCCAAGGCCGTGTCTTCTGCCCATCTTCTACAGCTTTTTATTGTTTTTGGTTTTTTGCGCCTTGGTTTGGCGCTAGTAATTTGCGCTTTGGAAACTTTTCACAAACTGTCAGTGCGCATTTTTGCTTTGTAAAAAGTTTGCTACCAAGTTTTTTTCCGCTATTTATTTCAATTCATTTGTGTTTTTTTGCCAGTCGCTTTTTGCTCGACAAATTGAATTCTTACAAGCTTTTTATTTGTTTACTTGTGCGCTTCTATGTGTGTGTGTGTATGCGCGGGTGTAATCCGGCAATTAGAGCTGAAACTTTTCTGACTGGTGGCGTTGCGGTGATGCGTCATTGGTGTTTGCTTGGTCGCAAAAGTTTGACGTAAATCATGCTTGTCCAGTCAAAGCTAAAAAAAAGTTGAAAATAAAATATAAGTGGCGAGGCAGCTAAAGAACTCCAAAAATGCGCTTAAACTTTTTCGAATACTTTCATTTGAGCGAATTATCTAAACGAATTATTTGAATACTTGCACAAGTTCATTTGCATTTGGCAGCTAGTATTTTTTTGTTCTTTTTTTCTTACAGTTCATTTGAAATATTATTTAAAACAAAA